TTTAATTTTTTGTACTTTAATGTAATAAGCAAGTTCATATACCTATAATTACATATAACAGTCAATTTAATTCGTCAGTTTGATAGTCCCATTCTGCATAATAGTCACTTTACAAAAAAATATTTTAGAAAAAAAGTCCTAAGGGGAGGGGGGAGCTACTACTCCCATGGCCCCTCCCCTAAAACCCGCCACTGGTACTTATTGGAATGGGTTTCCAAACGTATTGAATGTTTTTCCAAAGTTCATTTTTATTTTTGGTCTTATGAAGTTTTCTTAATTCATTTTTTACGTGTGCCCAGAAATTTCTATCGGAAATATGATTGGCTGACTACACCAAATTTTTCCATTTGAAACCGATTTTAAACTACCTTCGCAGTATGCTTTAGGTCATTATCTTGTTCATAGACCCAAATAAAAGGTAGTTTTTTTTTCTGAAAATTATAAAATAACATCCTGCAGTAAATTTAAATATATTTTTTTGGTCATATTTTCTTTATTTTATGTATATTCTTCTATAAAGACTAAATCTGAACGCTTTTCAACATTTAATTATCTTATATAAAACGAAAATAAGAATTTTATTTTCGTCTTGTCTTTAAAAATAAGTTTGAATCTTGACGTTTAATGGAGGTTTGTTCTAAACGTTATTCTGGATTTCATTTTAAACAATAATCGACCAAACTTATACATTTTGGCTAAACTTTGTCGCAACGTTTTGGGGAAACCATAAAAATGTTGATTTATTTCACATAATTTACATAAATCACATAATTCGCTTATACCAGCGAATTATGTGAGTGAGAAAACTAGTTCTTAAATGTTTTAGTTATGTGGAAAATCAGTAATGAAATATATAAATATCTTTTTAATTATCACTAATTATTTTATTATCGGTAGGTCACATTAATATTTCCAATAATATCTTCTACTTCATTAAATTAAAGTGCATTGAATTAAATTTTCTACTTAATAATGCTCCATGATAACTTGTATCACAAATAATCTTTTAATCGAAAAAAAGGTCGAAAAGTTTGATGGAGGTTTGAACCATTTTTTAACCAACAAAGTTTTCTAAATTCTACAGTTTCCCGAAATAGAGACATTAATTACATCCATGTAATATTTGCAGTTGCATAATGTACAATCCAATAAAAACTGTATTTAATATAATTTACAATACTTCTAAATTATACACTTTTTGTTAGAACTGTATTGAACTATAGATTTCTAATGAACTAAAAAAATTTTTGACTTTTATTTATAATTATTACCTTTAATGAATCTTAATTTTGGTTCCACACTGAGACGGACAGATAACTAAAAAAATGCGAAGAGTTAAAGAATTAATGTGAGATATGTAATGCTGGTCAGATTATTTTTATGATCCCAAAAACTAAAACTTTATTTCTTGTTTAACATAGTTGAAATTAATTCTATTTTAAAAATCAGAAAATTTGTAGGTCCGTATCAAAGTTCTAAGTACTGATCAAAACATCAAGCAGACTGAAACTCTTCGCTTCTTCAACAAAATTAAACTTCTCTAAATAATGTTAAAAATTGGTTTGAAGATATTAGTGTTACAATTAGATTCTTTTCATATCTCAATATTAGTTATACTCTTAATTAGATTTATATTATTATCCTTTTTTTTTCTTTTTCTTTTTAATATTTATTTGCCTTCAATAAAAAAAATTACAATTGCAGAATAGCTTTATTACAAGTATAACCGGCAGGACTTCCAGAAGATCATACAATCTTATCATGAAACCCTTTACAATATCAAATATATTAATAAAAAATAAAAAAATTAATCAATACAAATAAATCAGCTTTAGCTACATAAAACTGTACATTTGAAATATAAATATGTTGGATAAAATATATAAAACAAAAGTACTAAAAATGAGAAATAATATTTTCTGTTGAAAAGATAATTTCTTTTAATTTTCTTTTGAAAGAAGTTAAAGCCTATTTCTAAGACAAATCAAAATTAGGCAAAACTACTTTTTTATTTTTGCATATGCATGTAGAGGAGTGTTTGATTTAAAAAAGCATCTCCTAATCACATGACATGTCTAGGAAGTTTTTTCAGCGATCCCTTGAAAAAATGTTTAGTAAGCTACGTCAAGGTTCTAGAGAAAACATATTTCATCAATGTTCAACAAGTTTTACAAAAAATAAACAAAGATTCTTATTGATTTACATACAGATTTTAATGGAATTCAAACAACTTTTTGAACACACTAGTTTAAAATGTGGATTTTTACCAAATGATGACAATAACTTCAATGTGTCTCATTATCTTTCAAATATGGAGTTTGTCTTATCTTAATCTTTAAAAACGGGATTAGTCTATATTGCAGGATGACGTCAACAGAAACAATTTAGACAAAAAAAAAACAAATTGCTTATTTAAGAAATTTGGAGGTTTTACAAAAAAACTAAACAAAGGAAAATTGAAATCACCTGGAGACAATGTGTTACTGGGTTATTTATTGCTATGTACTTTTCCATCATTTTATGTCATCAGTTAGTCGGACAAGTCTTATAAATATAACAATCATGATAGCAGAATTTTATGATTTTAAAAACATGGATAAGTTTCATGGAAAAATACTAATATATTGTTTAACAACTTTAGAAAGCTTTACACATCTCGATCAATGAAAGAGCCTGCTTTAAAAGTGCTAGAACCTTGACGTAGCTTAAATTGTCACAAAAATGATTAATCTAAAACTATTTCTATTCATTGTTACTGAGTAGAAATATAAATGTATATAAATCACATTTTTTGAAGTTTGTTAGATTGAAATGAAAAAATAAAAAAAAAATTAGCATTGTTAAATCAGGGCTGTGGAGTCGGAGTCGGAGTTGCGACTTTTTTAGCAGAGTCGGAGTCGCTATACAAAATCACGACTCCGACTCCAATAGTAAAACTTCTCGCTATTGCACATGTATGTACAAAATATTCAATAAACCTTATATTCATACTAAACCTCAAAGAACTTTTCCTAAATTTGGCAAAAATAAATTTTTTAACTTATCGCGTAATATTTTTTTAAGAATTCAAAGAATTTTTCAAAAATTTTGCTTTGGAGTCGAAGTTAGAGTCATACTCAAAAACTTCAGCGATTGGAGTCGAAGTCGATAGTTTTTTTTACGACTCCACACCTTTGGTTAAAAACTTTTTTTCAAAATATTACTAAAAAAAAAAATTTTTTTAGTAACTATTTGAAAAATCTTATTTAGGTTGTAAAGTTTTATATTTTAAAGTTTGTTGATTTGTGAAATAAGAATAACGTTTTTCATGAAAGCTATTTTTATTAAACAACTACTAATTTTTTGTCAACAACAAATTTTAGCTTATTCAGTTAGCAAGTTAAGAATAAGACAATAATATTCAACTGTGAACAACAACTAACAATATTCAAGTTGTGAACAATTAAGATAAAATTTCAATCACTTCTAATTTTAAAAATCTTTAAAAATGAGCTTATTTTAATTTTATAATCGACTAATTTGTTTACAAAATATCTGCCTTGAATTTTTTTTGGGGGCGGGTTTCAGGCCTGTTATTAGGTAGACGGTGTTTTGTATGTTTACGTTTTTTTGTTATTCCAAAGAATGTTTTAAATAATTTTAAAATAGCAAGTAGTATTGGGCCTAAAACCGTAATAATGCGGGTAACCAGTATCTATATAGATATCGATTCAAGTAAGAAACGTAGTAGCCAATTTCATAAGAAAAATTTTAATCCAAACAAAAATGCTGCCACTTGGACTTTTACTTGAAATGCAGAGAATTTAAAATGGCAAGGTTTTTGATAACGTAATCAGCAGAAATCAAAAACTTAGTTTTTTTTTATGTACTCATAATTATAACTCAATTTTTAAAGTAACAGTCCAGTTATCTTTAGTGTATTTTGTTATTGTGTAATTACTAAATTACACATACATTTAAGTATTACTTATAAGTTACATATCAGTAATTTAGCAATTAACTGTCTCACCATTTTGCACAATGTACATTTTTCAATTACAAATAAATAAATAAATTTTAATGATTTATCAGAAATCCACTTTTTTTATATGCATTCGGAAGTAATGCTTGTCAATGACACATTTCCAATTAACAAAAGCTCGAATAATAAATTTGATTTAGGAGCAAATTTATTTAATTTGCCGACAAAATAATAATAATAAAAAAAAATTAAAAAATGTTGTATTTAATTCTCCAAGACAATAATAATTTACCGTTTTTTTTTTCATCGAATTACATTTAAAAAATAAAGCGACTGTTTTTTTTTACTTTTATTTTCGGGATTTCTTTGAACAAACTTTGAATTAAATGTAACCGACAACAAAAAATGGATCAAAATAGATGTAAGAAAAAGGCATTATAAAAAATTTCTTGAATTAATTCAAAACAAGAATTCAACAATGTTAAAAGTGCCGTTAAAAAAATTTATTATTGTAAAAATTAAAATGCTAAAAATGAGCATTGTCTAAAATATTTACAGTTAACAATTATTATTTAATTAATACCAAAGCATCACAATGCCTACATTACATTACACAGAACTAAAAATTTAATAGCAACCTTATTAACTAAGAAATTACTTTAAAAAAAGGCGAAGAAAAAATCAATAAAAACGGATAAAGTAAAAAATATTTCCATGATTTTTGTAGTTTCTAATTATATATATATATATATATATATATATATATATATATATATATATATATATATATATATATATATATATATATATATATATATATATATATAATATATATATACATATATATATATATATATATATATATATATATATATATATATATATATATATATATATATATATATATATATATATATATATATATATATATATATATATTAAATTGTTAATATTCTCTATTTTGATTTTTTTTTTAAATAAACCTTAGGCTTCACCTAATTACCCCGCACCAGGTAACACTCACTAAAAATGGCATCCGTTGTAATTCCGCATTCTTAAACATTTATAAATCATAACTATACTTGTTCAAAAAAATAAGTAAACAAGTCATGATGTACATTCTCCTTGTACTACAATATTACTAATTATTATGTCCCCAGAGTTGATACCGTTTTTATATATTGGTAGCTGCTCTTCTCCATCAGGGAGAAGTATTTGCTCACAGTTCAATGGAGCATTATGATCTGGGTTGAAAGTAGTCAACTTTTCTGGTAACACTGTAGAGGTTTCTTCTAAATGTACTGAATTTAAATTATCGTTTAGTAACTCCATAGATGTATTAAGAGAATTGTTGGATTGAAGTTCTTCTTGTTGTTGTTTTAACCGCGCTTGCTTTTTAGCAGCAGCAAATCGATTTCGAGCTTCTCTTTTAACTTTTTCGTCATCAATTCCTTTAGTTTTCTGAGTTTTGTTTGGCGATATTCGGTTTACCTTTGCTGAAGAATTCGTCTAAAAAAAAAAAGAAAAACGTAATAATTAGCATTAACTTTTTTTCTTTAGTTTTTCATTATTTTAAACTTCAAATTTTTATACTAAAGCATAGCATAGAAAATAATCCCTTATCTTATTTCACTATATTTTCTTATAAAAACTCTTTTTCTCTTTTCTACCAAAAAAATTAGACTATTTTTATTTGATTAAAATAAAATTTGTGTAGATGTTTATATATATTGATGTATCTAAATTAGGTTTTAAATTGCTCATTTTTTAAAAAATCGATTTTATAATTAATATTTTTATAATATAAATAACGAAAGTTGTAATTACAAGCCATACTACTGCAATAAATTTAATTTATTTTCAAAAAGAATATTGATCGCAACGAAAAACAGGTAGAATAAAACAAGTAATCAAATTATTATCATTCTTTAAGTATAGCCTAGAGTATGCTGCTAATAAAATATAAACAATACAGCATAAAATCAAATCAAACAAAAAAACAAAAACAAAAAAATAATAATAACTTATAAAAATATTTGTTATAGTAAAATAAATGATATTAAAAATTTAATTAAAGTAAAGTTGAATAACAAAGTTAATGATAAGGATGATGTTGAAAATAAGTATAATGTTATTGATGAAAGCAATACCAAATTTACAGATGACATCATGATAAGGGCAATGAAAAAGATGACGTAAGTGATTAAGAAATAGTTGATATAAAGATGACAATAATTAAATAATTTTGATGATAAAGATGATACCAATATTTTTCTTAGCCAAAGAAAAACTTGAAAAAGGCGTAAGTCGCGGGGTAAAGCATAAGTGGCAATGACGTTTGTCTGACGGGATAAACTAGTTATAAATGCTGATCCTCATCGAAACGCCAGTAATAATAGACGCGACTCTGAGGAGATGTTTATTACTTATCACTACACTAATTATGTTTACACATTAGCATTAATATTTTTTTTCCATTATTAGTCCTTTCATTGTTGTTAGCATATTTTTAATTTGTTGAATGGTTTTTTGTTTTACAAATTGTTGACTGGTTATGTATTTCTTGTATATTTTAGTTCATATTGGTATTTATAAAACAATTTTTTTATTTTTTATTTATATATATATATATATTTTATTATTGTTTGTTTTTATTTTTTTTAATTTTTATTTTTATTATTTTTTTTTTTTTATTGTTATTATGGTTGAGTACTGTTTTGGTTGTATAGCTTGTCTTACTTATTTTTAAATATTCCTCTATTAATCTTTATTTTTGTCTTGACAACTGTCAAAATATGCTTTGTCTAATAAATAATTCTCCTTTATTCTAATGTACTTCATTTCTTCCCTCAGGCGTTCACTGCTCGTGTGTGACCATTCGGCGAATTTTATATGCCAAAGTTTTTAAATAATTAAATAATTTTGATGATAAAAATGATACCAATATTTTTCTTAGCCAAAGAAAAACTCTAGAAAATAAACTTGAATTATCTTTATTATATGTAATCCTGGAAAAACAGATTTAACAATAACCAACCTTTTGTTTGGTTCATGAATTACTACAAGTATATGTGAACTATTAATAAATATAATTATCATTATGGTAGATAGACATGCGCATATTTTCAACGTATTGTCTGAATTGATATGTGTACATATTATGTATTTCTTATAAGTGCATTCTAACTGTGATGTAATAAAATGATCTAACCATTAGTTTAAAAACATAAAATTAATAGTTTTAAAACATAAAAAATTTTTATTTTTTCAAAACATAAATAATTTTTATGTTTTAAAACATAGTTTTAAAACATAAAATTAATAGATATTATAACACTTTCTCAGATCACTTGTTTATATAATCCATACTTCTTAAACTATTGTAATGTTATCATCAATTTTTTGCAACCAGTTTCAACTTGGAGCACAAATCATAAAAAAAATTCTCTCACTCTTATTCTTCTTTAAATTAAATATTTTTCCAAATAAATTCCTTTCAAACTTAGATAAATAAAGATTTATTAGAACAAGTTTAAAAATTACATGTTCTAAAGGACATACAGGTCCAATAAAAATAGACACTGACAATTTCCCCCTAAATAAATATAAAAACAATGTACATATAGAACAAATATAATTTGTAATACAAACGTTCAAGATTTCATTCATTTACTTGATAGACACAGTGTTTATCAAAAATGCATGATTTTATTTTATTTTTAAAAATACAAATGTTATCAGAATTTACAGATTTTGATGTCAAAATATTCAAGATATTTACAAGTTGTTGAGAAAAACAGTATTTGCGAATGTCAAGTTGATATCGTTGCTTGCAAATCTTATAAGTATGACCATGGGTATATTTATTATTGGTAATTTCGAAAAACTAACTTTTATCTATGCAAACCATATTATGTATAATTTTGAAACATATAACTTAAAACATGAAACATATAAAACCATGTTTTAAACGCCTGAGCTCCAGAGTATCCAAACTAAGCAGCTGTAAACAGCTAGAATAGTTTAAACAATTAAGATTAGCAATTTTTTTTTTATGAATTGTTTTTGATTATTTTCAAAAGATTTTATAACATAGTTTGGTGTGGTAACCAAATTGAAGAGCAATATTCAACAATTGGTCTTATATAAGTGGTAAATGCACGTACTAATATACTAGGATTGCAAGTTTTAAAGCATTTTAAAATTAGGTATGCTCTAATATTTGTTACATGAATGACTCTGGCAATGTATTTTTTGTAGTTTTGGCGGGAGTCCATAGTTAATCTAAGATTTTTTGGGTTAGTTACCAATCTAGAATACAATCACATAACTTGTAATTAAAACTAATACTATGCATTAGAGTAAGTGCTAATCTGTGTGCAAAACTTTTCATGCTGGCAATTAGCAATTGTCAAGTATCTGACCAAATATTTATTCTATCAAAAGCAACAGTTAAATTGCAGCTATGATTCATATCAAGATACGAACTGTATAACTAAATCGTCAGCAAAAAGTTTTATTGTACATCCAAGATCGTTTACTACAGATGATAAGTCATTTATAAATAATAAGAACAAAGTTGGTCCTAGCACACTACCCTGAGGTACACCATTAACAATTTGAATCAATCTGATAAAAAACTACCAATCTTTACCTGTTGAAATCTGTCTGTGAGAAATGCAGAGATCCACTTTAAAAGGCTTCCACGTATTTTGTATAATAAAAGTTTAAATAATAGTTTTGAATGAGATACGGAATCAAATGTCTTTTGGAAGTTAATATATATAACATCTGTTATCAGATGATTGTCAAGTGCAATACTCTAATCATTAGTAGATTCTAAAAGATTCATACACATAGAACATTTATTGAAGAAACCATGCTGATTAGGAAATATTACGTTATAATCATTTAGATACTCAACTATATGTGAGTTGATAATTTTTCCCATGATTTGATAAATAGTACAAGTTAGAAAGATGGGTCTATAATTATTAGGATCCGATGTAGCTCGGCTTTTAAAATTTGGGAAGACGAAAGCTTGGCGCCATTGATTAGGTAAAGCATTTGATGAAAAACTAGTCTCAAAAATATATGAAAGAGGAAAACATAAAACATGAGCTAACTTTTTAAGAACTGCATTAGGTAAACCATCAGGACCAAACAAGGTACTAGGATTAATTCTTATTAAAGTTGTATACACTGACTCCATGGAAAATTAAACCGTGTCAATACTTATTGGATCATTAATGTAATTGACAATATTAGGAGAATAGCTATTATCAACCGTAAAAACACAAAAGTATTTTCCAAAGTATTTAAGTATAGATATTCATTTTATTATTAACATAATAAACTTGCTAATGTTATTAGCAAGTTTATTATGTTAATGTTATTAGCAAGTTTATTATGTTAACCCTCCACTAGGTTTAACTCAATTTTTGATGGGTAATTCAATAAGATTTGTTTGCAATGTTATTAAATTGTTTGTAATAAAGTATTGCTGTTAATTTTTTTGTAATACAGTTAGTAGTATTTATCAACAAACTTAAAATTAAAAAAAATGTTTTAAAATAAAGATCATTTGTAAGTTTTCAATTTAGCTAAAAACTTAAAAAAAATAAAAAAACTTATATAAAGATAATCTTATATAGGGGTTATAATGGCTTAAAAACCAAATTGAAATCCTTGACTTCAAATTGAAGTTACTCAATTTAAACCATATTCAAATAAGTCATTTTTGATCAAGAAAACATAAGAAACTATACAACCTCTCTGATTCAAGTAAACTTTGGAACCAAATTAATTCTTTATTAAAAAAAATAATATAAAACAATAGTTGAAAATCGATTTAAATTCTTTGACAATTG